GGCTTTGGAAGCTTCTGAAAACTTCGCTGAGCCTTTGGATTTTGTGTGATATGTGGCCATGATTGACTCCTGAGAAATCTTTGACTCTTTGACTTCTGTACCGGGATTGGGCCTAAGTGTTGATTTTCCTGGGGCCTAATTTGACTTCTAGAGGCTTGGCCGCCTCGATTCCACCCTTACCCAAGGCCTACCAACCTTTTAACAAATTTGGACGGTCACCGGGGCGGGATGATTGAAATTTCTGTGAAAGTCGGGTTGATCACCTGAACCGAGTGCGGACTCCGCTCTTGCGGCTCGATCCAACCAACTCGATGGCCAATCATCCACCAACTAGGAAGGAGAACGAAGATGACGAGATGCACAGAGGAGAAGAAGATGAGCAAGAAGAGAGGTTGGCACAAATGTGTGAGCGGGAAGGTAGCTGGCGTGCAATATGAATTCAAACCGCCAGCACGCGCATTCATAGAAGCCTTTGGATCGTGTGTGATCTGTGGCCATGATTTACTTGAGAAATCTTTGGCTCGCTGACTTCCGGATTGGGCCGAAGTGTTGGTTTTCCTGGGGCCTACTTTGACTTGTAGAGGCTCAGGCCACCTCGATTCCACCCTTGACCCCAGGCCTACCAACCTTTTTACAAATTTGGACCACTTCTTGATTTATGTGTCCACTTGCGCAGGGGTGATGCTAATCTTCTCTGTATCTTTCAAATTTTAACGGATGTCCAGAAGAAGGACGCAGGCCTACCAACCTAAGGGGGACTTCGAGAAACTTCTCAGAGACTGTAAGACCGACTTATGACCCCCTTGACTCTCGCTCTCATGGAGTATCTGCGATTCTGGTTCTACCGCGATCCCTGACTCTGCGAGGTTTTCTGTTGGAAACTTCATCCCAGAGGTCGTTGACATGTTGCATCGCACTGAGGGCGGCCTCTGGGACCCTAGAGGCGTATTTATCATGCCCAGCCTTGACTCACACTTCAGGTGTATGTTTCTGTGCTGGATTTTGATGAACCCAGGTCATTGCAAGTGTGTTCTTTTTGTCTTCTCGTCGTCTGTCCACTCTTTCATGCAACTGCCATTTAGTCAGTTAGTCAGTTACGTAATTTCTGTTTGTTTTGTTGTCAATATCCGGAAAAGGCTGAGCGAAATCCACGGTTGAGCTGTTACTCAAGTTTTCTGTTAGATCCAGGTGTTTTTGTTGTCGCTTGCTTATCTGTGAGTTCTATCTCTCATGTACTGCTATTCAATTACATCATATTTGTTGCTTTTGTGGACTGTTTTCTTTCACCATTCAGGAAAGGGCTGAACGAAATGCGCTGCTCAAAAAGGTGATAGATCTGCGGAATCAGTTAAGGGCATCCGTTCAGAAGTGTGAAGTCCTAGGTGTACATAAACGGAGAAGAAATTCTCTCGATGATGTCGGGGATGGAGGGTCCGATCCAGAGCTGGGCGATGTGACTTGGGAGACTGGCAATGTGGAGACGGAAGCCGATGCAGGTGCAGCAGGTGGCAAGGAGGAGAGAAAACAGGAGTCTCGTGACGGTGCAGGAGGCAGCAATAGTTCCTTGGCGGCAATTAAACCGGGCACTACATCTGAACCTCATCAGCAAGGTAAGAAGGGCAACACCAATTATGATGGCGAGGATGACACTGAAAGCAATGCTGCAAATCACAGCTTCGCTGTTCGGAAACAACAAGGTCTTGAGAATGCGTCCTCAAGCAGCAATCGAAAAGAATTGTTGTCAATGGCCCCGCGTGTGTCCTGGGGCCATGACCTTGATGTTTGGGGAAACGCGGACTATGTTCCAGTCAACAGTCGAGGTCTGACGTTGGAAACACACTGGGGGAGGTATGAGCCAGATGTGTGCCTTCCACCAGAACGCGTCATGGAAATGAACATGCGAGTGTCATATTATGAACCCGAGGGTGTGCGCAATGAACGACGGAATACGACATGTGGTGCACCCCTTCGAAATGGAGGTTTCTGCACCCGAAGGGATCTGTTCCGCTGCCCATTTCATGGGCCCATCGTGCCTCGCAATGAGAAGGGGGAACCTCTTGTACCTGCCACGGGCACAGAAAGGCAGTCGGAGGATATCCAACGAGCCGTTGTGGGTAGCAAAGACGCAGAAGTTCCAGCAGAGGATGTGATGGATGGGGATTGTGGCACGCCAGAGGACGCTGTCGATGCAAATCATGTCCAGGTTGAGAAAATTGACCTTGTAGGGGTATCGCCATCGCAAGCGCAAGCAGCAGGCGCTGAACTTCCTCTGCTCAGCAGTTGTTTGCCAGCTACCATTCCAACGGAGGTAGGCACTCGTCATGATGCCGGTGAGCAGAAGAGGGTGAACAATGGAGACGATAACGGAACGAGTTGTCCTTCTGTCAAGGAGTACCACAGGATTTTGGCCAGAGTAGCTGCTCAGGCGCTTGCCAATGTGCAGCGGAGAAGGCAAGTGATGGAAACTGGTGATCCAGGTAGTGACAAGACAACAAGGAGCTCTCGTAGCGGCAAAGTTGTTGCGCGATCACGTCAGTCATCCTCCCAGCAGAGGCGGTTGGATAGAGAGCACAATGCTGCTATGCTGTGTATGGCAGCAATGGAGGGTAGCACAGCAGGACTTGAGAGGGATGCAATTGAAGAAGCTCTTGTGAGAGGCTCTCAGAGTAGGAGTGGCCATGCTCGACGAGCTTGTCACAATAATAGGCTGCTTCTGACGGTCAAGCCCAAAGAAACGGCCAAGGACAGAATTGCCAGGCGTCTGCTAGCTCCACAGGTCGTCGCTGCAACAATAAGGGAGTTTCAAAGAGAAGACAACATTCAGTACAGGGTTTTGAACTCGAACCGCTGGTAGGGGACAGTCGTGAACGCTATTACCTGACGAAGGTTACCCAACGTAGCTACCCGACAATGACACTGGCATGACAACCGGAGTCGTACATACTGAACTGCATACCTCATGGCTATTCAAGTGATGGTGTTTCACTTTGTATAATACCTCGTACCTTTTCCAAGATCGGTTTCCTGCTTATATAATTCTGTCATTCGATGTAGATATCCTTCTTGCCACAAAGCATCTGCTTTCGCCAGCCCACTACATAAGGTCGCATACTGTGAAAGTTAGCGCTTCAGCCGTTAGCAGCACTCGTTATTTCCTCTCGTGTTATGAGTTTTGTATTAAATCGTGTACTGCAGGCTCTTCCTCCCGAAGTGTGGTGACCACACGACTGAGGAAGTTTGTATGCCGTCGGAAATGGCAGGAAAAATGTCAGAAGCCATGTGAATCTAGTACAAGTTTTTCATCTCCACGAGGCCACAAACTGCAATTGGGTTACTGGTTGTTTTGCTGCTGTTCACTGCTTCTCTGTCAGTCGTCTAATTGACGAGGCCGGTGCGAAAGTATTCTGGGTATGTGGAGTGAAAAGTACTCCGAAGCGATGCACTCATTTCCCTCGTCAATGCTTTGCTTTCTCATAGGGACGTCTGGGGAAAGTAAGGCCACATCAACGTCACTGAGTTTAGCCATACAGTTGTCATCCAAAGAAATATTTTCTGGCTTGATGGCGCAGTGGATGATGGGACCACCTCCCATGCATTAATTGGAATCAATCAGTCCGTGGGAGGTGGTCCCATCGTCCGCTGCACAATCAAGCCCAAAAACATTTATTTGGATCACAACTTTGTGGTTGAACTCGGTGACGTTGATGTGGCCTTGCTTTCCCCAGACATCCCTATGAGAAAGCAAAGCATTGACGAGGGAAATGAGTGCATCCCTCCGGAGTACTTTTCACTCCACATACCCAGAATACTTTCGCACCGGCCTCTTCAGTGAGAAGACTGACATCTACTCATTTGTGTATCACAGTCCTGGAGATAGCGAAGTTGATGAACTGGAGATGGTAAAGTGATGTTGATGATAATGATGCTGATGATGGAACTTGGGAATGGGGGAAACGATGAAGATGGCTGGTGGAAGGTATAGAAACAGGCGTGAGATGCAGCAGATGTACAAGGAAGGTAGAAAGTGGCTATGTAGGTCCAGCGGAAGTAGGAGGAAGATGAAAGTTGTTGTGGGGTGCAGGGGAAGTTGGAAATGATGGGGGAAATGGCTATGGACTAGTATGGAGGCAAAGAAGGGGATGACAATGATAAAAAAAGTGTACCATCATCATCAAGATCAGTTTACCATCTCCACTTCACCCACTTCTCCATCTCCAGGACTGTGATACACAAATGAGTAGATGTCAGTCGTCTCATTGAAGATCCTGGTGCGAAAGTGTTCTGGGGCTATGCAGTGAAAAGTACTCCCTAGCTTGATGGCGCAGTGGATGAGGGGACCACCTCCCGTGGACTGATTGGAGTGAAGAAAGGACAGGGCCCGGGCAACCTGTCCCTGGGTCCGTCTCCAGGACTGTAATACCAAACAATTAGATGACCAGTGGACGCTTTTCGTTCTTCCCAGGTTTAAGGATACATGTTACTCCCCATTTAAATTCTCCTTTTGACTATCGCGTCTCGAAGCATCAAAAGCTTGACTATCGCGTCTCGAAGCATCAAAAGTTTTTCAAACGAAGTACCGTCAATGGTTGTTTGATTATGGCCTGGAGTCACCTCTTAAGCACGGAATATATATTATTTTGTTACACAATACTTTGCAATAAACACCGTACAAAGTCAAGATTCGGGCAGAGTTCGCTACTTTTGGTCAAAGGCAAGAAGCAGGTGTTAAAGGTCACGTCCCAAGTCTGAGAAATGTCTAAGAAAGGACCTAGGGTCGAGGGGTATCATGAGTCATGACCTGACTAAAAACTTTGTGTCCAGTACCCCAATGTGAGGCCGTTGAGTCCTGGAAATTCGAGAGTCAAACCTAGCACGGGAAAAGCAGGCCCAAAAGTCCACAAGTCAACCCAGTAGTACGCCACGGCCGTAGATCAGATCCAGATCAAGGGTTGTCTGCAGGTATCCAGAAGATTCCAGTTCCAACTGGGATACCATAATTCGGCTCCAGAACTGCGTCAAGGCTGTCGAGATCTGGCACAGTTGGACCATTGATGCGGTCCAAGGAGGGACTCGTCAATGCCAGTCAGCGTGAGTCAACGGTATTTTACTATTTATGGACGGTCAGACCACTGGGGAGGACATTCTGCCTTGCCCGAGTTCTTGGCCAGTGCTGCTCGTGAGGCTGGGCGATTATGCTGCTGGTGCCAGATGCTGCTGGGGGGCGCCGGGCTTGAGGGAGACATGCTGAGCTGCCATAGCCGCCATAGCTGTAGATGTGGGAGGTAAGGTTAGGCGAGGAGGAGGGTGGTCATATCTGTGAGATTGAGGCAAGAGGTGAAGGGAAGCCTACCTGGACGCACCTGTCGTCAATGTGATCGTTCTTCTGCTGGTCTTCGCGAAGGTGTGGATTGATAACACCATCCTCCATTGCTCGGTACAGTTTTTGGAAGGAGGATGGGCAGTCGGCGAAGATCTGCACAATGATGATGTCAAAGGCCGTCTGAAGGGATCACGCATTGCTGAGGCGGTGACAGGGGAGAAGCCTGATGAGGAAGTGGGCAGAAGATGGACATTCACGCATGATTGATTATGTGTTTCTCTCCCCCCCCTCCCCTTTGTCTATATTCTCTCCTCTATGCCACTCTTCGATGAGGACGCACTGCTTATGACATGAGCTATCAATCGAGTCGGGGACTTCTATTCACGATTGGAGACATTATATTGAGTGTAGGGTTGAGACCCCTGCATGACTTGCTTGATTGGCTTGTCAGCGATATTGGGTTCGCTGCAAATTTTTCTATGCAGAAGGTCGATTGAAATTTGGTCCTGCTTCAGCTTTAATAGGGCTTTGATTGTCAAAAAGAGAGTTATGTTCCCTTTGTGCCTGGTCGTTACTTTTTATTTCGCTGTTTTGCAATCTTTATTATTCCGTTATTTGAACTTATATTTCAAACAAAACTCGTACAGTGATCAGGCCGTTGAAAGTAACTTCTGCTTATCAAATTGCTTCTTTGATTGCACAAGAAATATGCAAGTGGAACAAAAAATATCATTTTGTCAAATCTATAGATCAAATATTCAAAAATCATAAAAATGCAATATGCCAGTGCGAAAGTATTCTGGGGCTAAAAGTACTCCAAATGGATGCACTCATTTTCCTCGGCAACACTTTCTTCCTTCTAGGGAGGTCTGAGGAAACCAAGGCTCTGCCATCTAAGTTGACCTAGGAAGGCACGCATGACCGCTGGTCACGTCTTTATCCACCGCATTGGCCGCTGTGATGATTCCATCGCTTGTGATATAATTGAATGATAATCCCCCTTCATGGCTCGGATATATGGCTTCGCATTTCAGCATCCATGCAAAACAAGGTTAAAAGTAAAAACTTAAAAACAAAAAAAGTAAATCAAAAGTCCTCTGCCTGCTTTTGTGCCGGGATGACGTCTCCGCTCCTGCATCCCAGGCGGCTACCCTAGCCAAGCCCCTCCCTTGCCCTTGTGGCAGCAGCACCCTTCTCCCCTCATCTCGTGGCATGACTTGGCATCTGAGCATCCATACAAAACGAGGTTAAAAGGGGGGGGGGGAACTTCCTCAGCCTGTGTTTGTCCTGCCTTACCCATCTGGCAGCACCCCTCCTCTCGGCACCCCCTAACCACCCCCAATTGCCTGCAAAAAGATGCTATGGAATCTGAATTCATAGCAACTGGCAAGTGCTATGCGCTCGTCAAGAGTTTATAGAACTTTAAAATGCGCTGCCACTATCCAATTGGCATACAGCAAAAAGCCCGACATGCATGCGCCATCCACCCATCCCCCAACACCCCCCCCTCCCCCTCCCCCTTCCCACCCACCCACGCACACACACACACACACACACACACACACACACACACACATTGGTCAAGACCACAACGAGTCTCCGCCACCTGTGCAACCTGCAGAATCGAACGAGGATCCCCCTGCCGTAAACGGATCCCGCACGCAACCTGCGGAATCAGACAATGTCATAGCGCTACAGCGAGGGCGCTGTGCGTACTATGCCATTAATGTAGGTCTCCTTGCTTACAATTGTAATCCTTATACTGTTGCTGATTTCACAGACGTTGTTAGCTGGATAGAAGAAGAGCACCGTGCCGTCTGCCCAGAGGACGACAGCGCTGCGCCTGCGGTGACCATAGAAGTCCTGGCTATGGCATTTATGGGTAGGCGACTGCAATTCCAGCCTGCTCCGCAAAACCACGAGCCAGGCACGGATCCGAATAGTCGGGCATATATCTTACATCGTCCAGGTCACTTCAGTGCTCTTACCTTTGCAGATAATTCATGGACCCTATGGGACAATGGCGGTAGGGTGCACACAGTGGGAAATATTAACTCTTTTCTATCACCAAATGCTGGAGGGTCACTCAGTCTGGCTCGTCCATCAGGAACAGTATGTCAATGAGCATTTGTAAGCACTGCACCCCCCGGAGAGCAATCCGGCTGATTCTACCACAAACAGTAACAGGACCTCTCCACAGGATGATGGCTGTGCCCTCCCGTTGTGTCGTCGCACAGGTGCAGTTCAGTTGGCATGTACACAACATAGCCTATGCTCCGAACACTATGAAGGGATGGTCGCTGCTAGCCTTTCACACAAAAATTGTGATCCCCTGTCCTGTGCTCATCCCCCCCACCCCCTGATTACTTGCCCAGCGTGCTGTTGTGGCCGTGATCTGGCATGCTTAAATAACTGTGCACGTCAGCCTTCCATACTAATGACATGTCACCAACATGCCATGTGTCGTCAATGCTTTCAGGAAGCTGTCATAGAAAATATGTGTCTTTACTGCGTGGACTATCCCCGGTGCCATCACCCTCCACATCCTCTACTAGCATGTCCCACATGCGGTGTTGGTCATACACCTACGACAACCGCTGATGGATCTCCCTCTTTCTTGCCAGTCGAAAGACGAACACAGCAGTCCGAGGAGGAAAATAGACTTCTATATGAACCGCTGGCAGAGCGATGTGCTCATAGTTTATCACCACCAGGGCGAGCTGTTGCGGATCATATCCTGCAGCAGCTGAACGCCCTTGCGTTGGGCCGATCCTCCCTGACGTCGTCTGCCCATAGAGAAGGAATACATACTGAGGAAGCCCAAGAAAGATGCTCCATGCCATTTTGTGATGACCCACCGGAGATTCAACTAGCATGCGGTTCGCATGCCTTGTGCCGTGACGATTATGAAGGGATAGTCCATGCGAGTTTTTGCTTCCATTCGTACAATGACAATCAGTACTGTACTCATGTACGGCACCCCGACATGTCATGTCCAATTTGTAGACAGGGGCTGGAACGGCAATGCCTCTATAATTGCGGTCGACGTGCCTCTGTGTTCCTAGCGTGTACGAGCCACGTAGCCTGTGACATCTGTCTGCGCCGCGCCATTCGATGCAGCAACTGTGACTGCGAAAATTGGATGCGGTGCTTCCATAGCCCAAACCCGAACCGGTCCTGTCCGGTCTGTAAGGGTGGCCACTCGCCATAGGTTTTTTTTTGCTAGAGTAGTCTGTTTCAGCGGTGAATATTTAGAAATCTGTGAAGCCTGTCATACACCTCTCCCCTGCTCTTTGGATGTCATACTCTATCCTGCCCTCCACATATTTCTTTCCTTCCCGTTGCCCCTACCTCCCCTGCCCCATACTCCTATAGTACTCCGCCTTCTATCCCTTACCCTCCACCCTTCCCTCCACTCCCTTCGTACTACTGACAAATACATACGAATGAGCATCATTAATAGAACAGACGATATGAAGATCGGAAATGAAATGAACGGAAAGTATGAAGATGAAAGACGGACACAAAGATTGTATAAGCTGAAGATCCGAAGTGAAATGAGCAGGATTATGAAACTCTGAAGAGATGCACAGGAGCATACCTTCCCTTTTACTCTGCCTCCTGAAATAACATGCAAGTGGGCCGTGAAGGCACACGGGGGGATGTGGGCAGCTGCTGCTCAACCACAATCAGCGTGGGCAGCCCCTTGTGCGTAAGAGGCACAGTAAGAAAAGAGGAGCTGCAAGAACAACGAAAGGGGTACCCCAAGGACAACCAAAAAACTGTCCAAGTATAAAATTGCTTTAATGTGTTGGACATCTCAAACGCTCTCGTTGTCTGCAATAGGACAAAGACTGCTTTGATTCTGAATCTGTTCACCTGGGTGGAATTGGGGCTGTTGTGGGGAAAATCTAAAACACACACACAACACACAACACACAACAACACAACACAAAAGCATGCACACAAATATGCAACCTGGCCGGCTAGCTGGTTGGATTTGGATTTCCGCTTGTCCAGATCTGGACCTACTCACAAATCAGTATTCCTGTACCACGCCTGCATGCACACGAGATACCATTGTGCAAATAATCGGGCTCCACTGGTTGCAACTGATGACATGAGTTCCTTCAGACATTCCATTTCTAAAACTGATTGCAGTGGCATTGCCGAGTAGCTACGTTGGTATGGGAGAACCGCTGAAAGCATATAAGCGGGAAACCCCTCTTGAAAAAAGTTATCATATAAAGTGAAAGACCATCACTTGAATAGGCGAGAAGTAAAAGCACCGTGACAGCAACAGCAGTGTTTTACCTTCAACCTAAAAAACAATCGAACTTTGCAGCGGTAGCCATTCATGAATGCAGAGGCCAAGGGGTGGTACACACTACATGGGCTCACTGCGCACCAATGACCCTATTATGACGCACCCATGCTGAGCGAGTCTCGAGTTTTTTAGCATCCGTAAGCCCCGTGCAGTTGCCAAAGTGCCCAAAATGGCAAACCTGTCCATGCTGTTGCAGCACCGCCAACTAATGACAGGCGTACAAAAGAGTGAAGAGGGTGTGTAACTTCGTGCAGCTTTTTGTGTATATTTGTACATCTACGATGTTATATATTTTTATCATATTTATGGTGTTCAGTGCCCTGAGGAGTCAGCGAGAATGTCCCTTCCTCCCTGTCTTTCCTCTGTGACAACTGTTATTTGCATGGGTTGTTGCAAGCCTCCCTATCACGTGTTCACCGGGTGGGTAGGGAGGAGGGGGTCTGCCTCTTGGTGGGGAAGACGCGATGCAGGCCTTTAACCAGCTGCGTTTTGTATCGAGGGCGAGTTGGCGACTGTACGAATTGTGTGGTTTGATTTTCTTCATGGTTATGCAAGAAGAGGGCTGGTTGATGCTGCAATCGCAATTGTAGTCGAGGCAGATTTTGGCTTTACAAAACAAAGGGTTGCCCGCGACACGGATGAGAGGTGGCCAGAGGGCGAAAAGGGGATCGCTCTCTCTCTCCGCATCAAAAACGGAAAAATAAAATAAAATAAAAAACCGAGACACGCAAACGATTTGAACGGTTGCTGTCTCCAGTGTAACTTCTCGGTGCTATGTGGACTTGGTGCAGTGCAATGTGGTCTGATTGCGGAACAGCTGAGAGGCGGGAGGAGGGAGAAAAGGGGCACGACATCGCAAACTGAAAAACTGAACCTTTTTAGTGCTAGTGGGCAGGGTACGGGCTCACACACACACACACACACCACCCTACTGGGACCACCTGCAATCGGAGCAGGTTGACCCTGATTCCATCACAACTCGGACTCACCTGTTTACTAGCAGTTCGGAATGCGTACTGTTTG